CCAAGCAGTCACTGCAGGGTCAGCAATGACTGAGCGCAGACAAAAAAAAAAAAAAAATTCTACAAAACCTCAGAATAATACTTTCTAAGGATCATGAAGGAGACAGTTTCCTTTATACATAACAACCTAACTGAAGTGAAATTCAGTTGTTGGAAGCTTATTTTCATGACAACCAGAAATAAAACATGTTAGCAACCAACAGTGCTGAAAAATATAAACAAATTGAGGAAAGATGTAACTTGAAAAACAGATGATATATTAGGTCTGGATTTGCACTTCTAAAAAACCTATCCCTTTCTTTTAGAAATTGTGGGAACTATTCCCAATATTAAGAACCCACATTTGCCCAGGAAACTTGTATACATAAGAAAAAAATATATTAATTGGATGAAGTTGGTCTGAAAAATCACCACAGTCCTTGCCCAAGCTTGTGATGGCTTTTAACCTGTCATGTGATTAGATTGACATAGTCACCAGCTTTTCCAGTAACTTCAAGGAAGGCTTAAATTGGGCAATGGAGAATAATTCTAGGGCAAGGTTCACATTTTCAAGGCACTAGACACCTTAATAGCCCAGTTTGTTCCATGTCGATTATCTGCTACGTTAGTTGCATCAACTAATCATCCATCTTTAGCCTTATTTCCATCTCCACTTACAATAACCAAGTGCAATATTGTTGTAAACTTCAAATATAGTTGATAAATACCTGGAGGCCAAGATCTTTGAAGCCTTGAGATCTGTCACAATATAGAGGTAATAATAGCTCATAAAAATTCTTCTCTGAATCAGCAAGAGTGTGAAACATATTGCATCCCACATGATTCCTGCTTCATTCTTGGGCAATTCACATATCTCATTCCTAGGTGGGTCTGTGCAGAAGGAATATACACAAACTTGTTTTTCTAGGTGGTCAGATGGAGATGTAGATCATCCAATTTCCCTACTGAAAGGATTATATTGTTGTTGTTATTACGATAATTATCAGATTTATACAATTTGTATTTTGTACAATACAATGTGAATATTGTGGAGACCATGAATGAAACTTTGTTTTACAGAGATAACAAGGATAACTTCGGCTCTCCAAAAGGGAAAAAACCCCGCACAAACGGTGGTTTCTCTTTTATTTGGTTTTTGTCTGTAAAATAAATTGTGGCTTCTCTTTTATATCACATCCTAAGGATAAAATTCCACAATTCTATTGTTAAGTAACTCCATCCCTCAACAGAGAAGGTATTTTTGAATGGAAATTATCCAAGCTGTAACTTTACACACATTTGGTTCAAGTTACAGTGTCCTTTCAGCAGAGCTTTACTACTGGCGATTATAAAGATAGATTCATGCTGTTTTCTTGGTAATGATACAGAAGTGATTTATATTGTTTTCTTCCAAGATTTTTTTTTCAACTTCCCAATCTAGTCTACAGTCTTGGGAATACTTGGTAGCCTCTTACTCAATCTTGGTCTGATTCCAACCTTTATTAGCTTTTCAAGATTAGCTATGGAACCTTTTTGATCTGAGTTCAAAAACTTTCTTTTCTGCTTAGGCAACAGAAATCTCCTGAATCTATAGAACATATTTATAAAAGGAAAGACCTATCAGCTGAATCTTATATTGTAGGGTTACATGACTATTTCTGTAGGCCCTCATAATTAGATCTACCAATGGAGAAGTTTCCAGCCATCTGTATAAGATGGATTTTTTCTTATCCAGATCAAACTGCAACTGATGAAGGAGCACAACAGATGAATGAGCACAGGTGACTACTTTAATAATAATGTAAGAACTGTCTTATTCCAGATAAGAGTTCTAGTCCAGCTACCCCCAAATTATCTACTGTGACTGGCCACTACTTTCCAAGATTTTTCCAAGGTCTCAGGAACAATTGAATCTAAGATCTTTTGCATGGAAAGCAAACACTCTAATATTGAATTTCTTCCTAAATTGGTTGGGAATTAATAAATAGTAATTATGATTCTACCATAGATTATCTGATTGACTGATTGATTACTCAAGCCTCTCTGCTGTTCCAATTGGTCTAACTCTGAACAAATTATAGTTCCTCCATACAATATATAGGATTAAAAACATCTATAGTAATATTCAATAATGCATCTTATGTCCTCATCCAATGTACAAATGGCATCAGATGCCTTTGTTTGGGAGCTGAGGGTGAAAACAAACAACTGGAAAAAAGGTGCATCTGGAGAATATTGTTTGTGTGTGTGTGTATCTCCAGATGCACCATTTTACATTTCCAGATTAGGGAAAGAATGAATGAATGAATGAATGAATGAATGAATGAATGAATGAATGAATGAATGAATGAATG